AAAATCATTCAAACGTGCAAAACAAGCCTGTACGCTGTTTCAATTGTTCGAGATATGGCCACTATGCTGTTGACTGCAAAAAGGAAAAACGAGGAAGAGGGTCCTGTTTCACATGCGGCAAATTCGATCACGTGCACAGTGACTGTCCGAAAAAATCTGTAAACTTTGCTGCTAATAATGATGACGATTATGAAAAAGTAGAATTTGAAAAAAAGGTAAGTGTTGCTTTTAATACCGATTGCGAACCTGAACTTAAATTTGACTGTTTTCTATGTCTGCTGGATACGGGTAGCCCTATTAATTTTGTAAAGCGGTCGGCAATATTATCTGCTAATCCTAAGATCCAATTACATGATAATAAAATGTCGCAGTATGTAACTCTGGGACGTAAAAATATAATGTATTGCGGAACTGCAAATGCAAAAATCCAATATAAAAATAAGATAATTACCGTAAATTTTTTAATTGTACCAGACAATTACTTATCATATTCAATTATATTTGGCAGAGATTTTTTACAAAAATTTAATATTTCTCTGTGTATTAAACACACAAATAAAAATGACTTTTCAGAAAGTCAATTAGAAAACAGGCATAATTTAAATATATTGGAAAAGACAAAGGCAGATCACATTGTAGGTAGAACATTTAGAGAAATGTGTAACATCACAAAAAGTGATGGTGATTCCTTAAATATTAACCCAAACTTATCCCGCGATTGGACAACAAAATGGGAAACAATGATAAAAAATAATTACATACAAAAACCGTTAGCAAATTTTTTGGACACTGATTATGAGGCAAAAATAGAAATAAAAACAGACACACCAATTTTCTGTTCACCACGACGGTTGTCTTTTGCCGAAAAGAATGAAGTAAATGATATAATTAAAGACTGGCTCGATAAGAAAATCATTAGACATAGCGACTCCCCGTATGCATCACCAATAGTTCTTGTTAAGAAAAAATCGGGAGAAACTAGAATGTGTATAGATTACAGAAACCTGAATAAACATATTATTAGAGATAATCACCCACTGCCACTAATTGAAGATTGTTTAGAATACTTAGGGGGTAAGAACATATTTACATTAATGGATTTAAAATCGGGATTTTTCCATGTAAATATACCTAAAATATACCTCGTTTGTGGTACCTAATGGCCAATATGAATTTTTAAAAATGCCTTTCGGTCTAAAAAATGGCCCAGCTGTTTTTCAAAGATTTATTACAAAAATCCTAAGAGATTTTATTGAGAATTCAGAAATTATAGTTTATTTAGACGATATTGTAATTGGAAGCAAAACAATAGAGGAACATTTCATAATTGTAAGCAAAGTTTTAAACAGATTAGCAGAATTCGGACTTCAGATAAAACTAAGTAAATGTAAATTTGCGCACAGCAAAATAGAATACCTTGGGTATATTGTTTCATCACAAGGAATTAAACCCTCGGAGAGCCATGTCGAAGCTATAAGAAATTTTCCTGACCCAAAAAATCAACGACAACTTCAGTCATTTGTCGGTTTATGTTCATATTTCAGAAAATTTGTGCAATCCTTTTCAATAATAGCTCGACCACTATATGACCTGCTTAAGAAAAATTCCAAATTTGATTTTAATGAGGAATGTAGGCAATCGTTTAATAACTTAAAGAAAGAATTAATAACAAGTCCGGTACTGTCAATTTACAACAGCAATAGAGAGACACAGTTACATTGCGATGCCAGCTCTCATGGCTTTGGTGCCATTTTATTTCAAAAACAGGATGATAAACAGTTTCATCCAGTTGCGTACTTCTCAAAACGAACTTCTGACGCAGAAAGCAGGTACTATAGCTTTGAATTAGAAACTTTAGCAGTGATTTACGCACTCCGTAGGTTCCGTGTATATCTAGAAGGAATAGAATTTAATATTATAACCGACTGCAATTCATTAACACTAACATTAAATAAGAAATTAGTAAATAGTAGAATTGCTAGATGGGCCTTAGAGCTAGAAAACTATAATTATTCAATAGCTCACCGTGCTGGCAAGAAAATGCCACACGTAGATGCTCTTAGCAGAAGCGAAATGGTAAATGAAAATTTAGTTGCTGTCATTGACAGCGAAGACTTAGACTTTCAGTTGCAAGTAATGCAAAACAGAGATGAAGATATTATGGGTTTGAAGAACCAATTAGAAAACGAAGAACTAGAAAAGTTCGTAATGGAGAATGGTGTGGTTTTTAGGAAAGAAAAAAAAAATTTACTTCTATATGTACCTAAAGAATTGGAAAAAGAAATAATTAGATCTATACATGAACAATTAGGGCATCAAGGCGTGGAAAAATGCTATCATAAAATAAGAAGAAATTATTGGTTTCCAGATATGAAAAGGAAAATTGACAATGTTAAGAAAAATTGCATAAAATGTATCATGTATTCTGCTCCAGAAAAAACGAATAGAAACTTATATAACATACCTAAACACCCCAAACCATTTCATACCATACATCTAGATCATTTAGGACCACTACCATCACTTCAGTCAAAACGCAAGCATATTTTGGTAATTGTTGATGCCTTTACGAAGTATGTTAAATTATATCCAGTACTAACAACCAGTACAAAAGAGGTTACAGCCGCATTAAATAAATATTTTGAATACTATAGTAGACCAAATAGATGCATAACAGATAGAGGAACTTGTTTTACCTCTAAAGAATTTGAAAATTATTTAAATAACAAAAATATTACCCATGTAAAAGTAGCTGTGCATTCGCCACAAGCGAATGGACAAGTTGAAAGAATTAACAGAAGCCTCGTAGGAATGTTAGCAAAATTAAGTGATCCTTTAGAACATGCTGATTGGGTAAAACAACTTCTAAAAATTGAATTCGCAATAAATAATTCAGTTAATAGATCAATAGGACTAACTCCAAGCCAAGCTTTATTTGGCATAAACCAAAAGGGTGAAACTGTCGATAAGCTGACAGAATATCTAGACGAATGCATTTCAGGCCTGGAGGGGAGGGATTTGGAACTTATCCGTAACTCTGCACAAAAGTGTATATCTAGAGTGCAGGAATATAATTTAAATCGAAGTAAACAAGTACAAAAAAGTGCTATTGAATTTAAGGAAGGCGATTTCGTAGTAATAAAAAACGTAGATACAACAGTAGGAACAAATAAAAAACTTCTGTCAAAATTTAAAGGACCATATGTTGTTCATAAGAAACTTCAAAATGACCGCTACGTAGTGAGAGATATAGAAAACGCCCAAATAACACAAATCCCTTATGAGGGTATAATAGAAGCTTGTAATATAAAGTTATGGAAAGCTAAAGGTAATGCAATCGGTAATGCGGGCAACACTGTCCAATAAAATTAATACACATAAGTAAACTTGTAAATATACTATAAGTAGTTTTAATTTAGATGTAATCAACTTGTTAGAAATATTCAAATTATGTTAATGTGATCGAGGTCGATCATGTGTAGTCAGGTTGGCCGAGCTGTAGTAGAATTAAAGAATAAATATAAATGGCTGGCAACCCTATTGATGACTAACGAATGTAAAGAATGACAAATAAAGAATCAAGCAGTGTGTAATAAGAAACTAAATGAAGCGGTTTGCTACAATACCTTCTTTTAATAATACATATCGAGTTGTACTATATCTTTCTTCTTCTAGGATAGATTTGTAATCAGTTTCTTTTCCAATTTTAAATTGTAAAATTAAAGTAACTTACAGAGGAGTAAAAGGAGTCGGTCTTAGGCAACAGAGGAGGAAATTCGGGAAACCACTGCAAGTGAAGATCTCATCGACAAATACGATAGGAAATACAACAGGAGCCTGAGCTAAAGAAAATGCACATTTCTTGTTTTTATTTTTATTAAATAAAAATCTCATTTTAATTAAAATAACTTTATCATATGTTGGAATAATTATTGGAATATTGTCTTTCAAAGTAAATAAACTATACAATTCAATCTAGTAAACGAACGTTTCCTTTTCTTTCTTTTTTTTTTTTAAATAAAACACCTACGTCCCGCGAATATAAATTCATTGTAATGACTCTGGACGACGGCTGAGGATACCCCAGCAAAAACTAAATATTTTTGAACGTCACCAAAAAGTGTCGTTACAATATTAAGACAGCATTCTTAAATACCAATTCAGAAGAAAACATCTACATGCAGCAACCAATGGGTTACAATGGCGACAGTGGACGTGTATGCAAACTGGTAAAAAGTTTATATAGATTGAAGTAAGCATCAAGATGCTGAAATAAAAAATTTACTACAATTCTTCAAAGTTTTGGGTTGCAGGTTTCGGAGCATGATCCCTGTGTTTTCATCAGCAATAATAATGTTGGTTCTATAATTATGGTTATTTATATTGATGACGGTCTATTAGCTGCAACAAACAGTAAACTTATAACTAATTTAATGGCTCAGTTGGAAGCAGCTGTGCGAACACATCATCTACGAACAACGCCATCTACCGGAACAAGCAATTGTTTTATCAATCAACAACTAACTTAACAAAGAATTCCTACAAATGAGAATAAGCATTTTTAATTAGCAGCCAGCATTGCGTTTATGAATAATAATTGGAGTAAAACAGAAAACCACATACATATATATTTTCATATTTTGTAATTGTTATATAATTTTAAATAAATAAGTGGGGTAAAATACCAACCACCCCCATATTGGTGACCACGATAAAAACAATTACAAATTATAAATAATAAGAAATAATAATTTCACAACAGCAAGATGGAGGACAACAAAGAAGCCACACTACAAGAACAACTAGACACAACGATGGCAGAAAATAACCAAATAGAAATCAAACACGACGTTGCTGCAATGGGCATAATCAAACTACCTACATTTTTACAAACAGACCCCGAATTATGGTTTGCTCAAATCGAAGGATTATTACATGTGCATCGGATAACAGCAAATGCATCAAAATTTTACACTGTCATAACGGCACTGGATCATAATACCTTGCATCAAGTTGCAGATATCGCAAAATGTCAATCCATTACAGATAAATTTATCATGTTAAAAAAAGAACTGATAAAAAGATTTGGAGAATCGAAACAAAAACAACTGGTGAAATTATTAACTAATTTAGAGTTATCAAACAAACGGCCAACACAGCTACTTAGGGAAATGCAAAATTAAGCTGGTACGAATGTTTCTAAGGAAGCTTTAGCAGCACTTTGGCTTCAACGGTTATCTAGCAATCTAAGGTGCATTTTGTCTGCAAGCAACACAGGTAATACAGATCAAACAGCAGAGTTAGCCGACCGAATAATGGATAATATGCTATCTGCGCACTACGTTATGACCACAATACACCGACGCAGCAATTCACAATGAGACAAAAACCGTTCCATCTTTAGAATCGAAATTACTGGCACTCGAGACTTCTATTTAACAATTAATAGCAACTGTCAGCAATTTGACATCAGAAGTTAGATCTGGTCGCAGTAATCGAAAAAGCAGCAATCGGAGCAGCCAAAGCCGCAGTAAATTATGCTTTTATCATACACAAACGCAAATATACGCAAATGCCACAAAATATCAACAGCCATGCGAATTCATCGATGCATCCAAAAAGCCTAATTCCAACTCAGGAAACTAAAGTCGTTACCGCCACAATGTGCAGCAGGCGATAACGCACTCTTTAGTTGCACAAGCGAAAACCGTTTTCATATTCTCGACAAGGCAAGCAAATTATATTTTCTGGTCAACACTGGTTCAGCAGTATCTATTATTCCACTCACCTCAATAGCGCAAAACTCATATGCAATTCCAGACGACGTCAAGCTGTTTGCAGTAAGCAACACAACCATCAACACTTTCGGAATTCGAAGGATGTGCATTGATTTAGAACTACGTCGCAATTTTATCTGGAACTTTATAATAGCCGAGGTCAAGTTACTAATCATAGGCGTAGATTTCTTGGCAAATTTCGGGTTGGTGCTAAACATGAAGGTCTCTCACGTCCTTATCCGTCACAGGTACCGTAAAGAACGCGGAAATACACTCGTTATCTACCCTAAATACCTCTACTAAATTACCCAACGTAATTCGCAAATACATCAACTGATCCAATCCTAACAATTACAAATTGCCAACAAGCTCCCAGGTAAGCCATCGGATTAAAACAGAATACCGACCATTCGCAGAGAAGCCAAAAAGATATTCTGGTGCGAAACAGCAATTCGTGATGAATTCCGCACACTACAAGAGCAAGGAATCGTGTGACCAGCAAACAGTCCATGGTCGAACCCTATCCACCTTGTTAGAAAAAAGACAGATGGTTGGAGGGCATGTGGTGACTACCGTAAGCTGAACGCCAGCACAAAATTAGACCGCTACCCAATACCATACATTGATCAGGTATCAGAACGACTTCACGGGAGTGTGATCTTCTCTAAAATCGACATCAATAGAGCCTATTATAACATACCAATGGACCCGGAAGATATTTACAAAACTGCAGTTAGCACTCCAGTGGGAATGTGTGAATTCGTCGTAATGCCATTTGGGCTAAAAAACGCAACTCAAATGTTCCAGCGCCATATGGACTCCATATTCCGATCTGTACCATTCGTTTTTTGCTATCTAGATGACATTTTGGTTTTTTCCAAAGATGCAACCGAACATGAAAAACACCGAGACATAGTATTGTACAAACTTCAGTAAGCGCATTTAAGCATTAACATGTTGAAATGCGAGTTTGGTGTTCCATCGTTACAATTCCTTGGTTATCACATCATTTCTGACGGGACAGAGCCTCCAGAAGATCGAATAACAGCAATGCAATACGTGAGTATGAAAAACCGAAAACAGTTCATCAAGTTCGTCAATTTCTAGGAGTAATGAATTATTATAGTAAGTGTATTCCACAAGCTGCAGAAATACACGAACCATTGAATAACCTTCTTAATGATTCCAAGAAGAATTGCAAACCGAAGTAATGTGGTCAACAGAGCTCAACACAGCATTCGATAAATGCAAAACGAGTATCTCATCAGCCTCCAAATTAATACACTTATTACCAACATATCCGTTACGATTATCAACTGACGCATCTAGTTCAGCAATCGGTTCCGTTCTCAAACAACAAATGGGTGATCAGTGGAAGCCAGTAGCATTTTACTCTGCAAAATTAAGAGCAGCACAAATAAATTACAGTGCTTATGATAGAGAGCTCTTAGCAATCTATTATAGCTTTCGATCAAACACTTGCGACACATGTTAGAAGCACGACATTTTATGATCCGAACCGATCACAAGCCACTCATTTTTACATTCAAACAGAAGTTGGAAAAATTATCGCCCCGTCAAGTGCGACACTTAAGCTACATTGCTGAATTTTCAACTGACATAACACATGTATCAGGTCCTAACAACATGGTAGCTGATGTTCTATCACGGGTAGGCGCAATAACAATGCCACAGTCATGTAATTTAGAACCCATCAGTGAAGCTCAAGTTAATGACGTAGAGTTACAAGAAGCACTCAAATCAAACTCATCATTGCAGCTAAAGAAATTAAGACTACAAGCGGATCTGGATACATATTGTGACATCACAACTGATCGCATACGACCATTCATTTCAAAGTCATTGAGAAGAGACGTATTCAACCTAGTGCACTCGCTATCACATCCCGGTGCCAGAGAGACGTTCCATCAATTAAGAACAAAGTATGTATGACCATCAATCCGTAAAGATGTAAAGTCATGGGTTCGTCAATGTCAAGGCTGTCAACATTGACAGCCTTTCGAGCTCTACCCAATTTACTGGGAACCGAACGCGTTCGTACGACTCCTTACCATCCGGCAGCTAACGGCATGATAGAACGATTCCATCGTACTTCGAAAACAGCTCTCATGGCCAGACCTGAACAAACTTGGTTACAGTTACTTCCATCAGTTCTACTAGGTTTAAGGTCAGCGTTAAAAGAAGACATAGGTACATCAGCAGCACAACTAGCTTCTGGCACAGTTCCATCATGCAGCCACGTTCCATCATGCAGCCAGGGAAAGTTTCTAGATCAAATTCGAAAAGAGTTACAGCAATTGAGGCCTACTTCAGCATCGCATCATTTAAAATCACCAATTTCCATTCACAAAGGTTTAAGAGACTGCACCCACGTTTTCCTACGTTCTGATCATATAAGAAAACCACTGGAACCGCCATACACAGGCCCGCACAAAATCATCAAAAGAATAAGTGAACGAATTTTCAAGATTCAAGTTGGCATCAAACAGTTAAATGTCTCAATAGAAAGGTTAAAACCAGCGTTCATAGCAGAAAGCAATGAGCAGTCGTCGGAACCATCGTTTTTGGAAATATTAGTCAATCCGGCCCAAAACAACCAGAAGGACAGAACCAGCAACAACGTACGCAAAGTAATCTTTGCTGAGCAAGATCCTTTGAGGTAAACAATTCAAATTCACAACTGTCAACGTTGGGCAGTGGAGCAAAGACCCAAGCACAAATTGCAACACTAACGCGACGTCTTTTTACGAAATTTTATCAATTACAAACAACATTCACACTAACTTAACAAAGAATTCCGACAGATGAGAATAAGCATTTTTAACTAGCAGCCAGCATTGCGTTTATTAATAATAAGTGAAATAAAACAGAAAACCACATATATATAGTATACTTTCATATTTTATAATTGTCATATAGTTTTAAATAAATAAGTGGGGTAAAATACCAACCACCTCCACACAGCCTTCAAAATAAAAACTTTTGAGGCAAATTATTTTTTGGGGATTGAAATCAATCGAAAGGCTGATGGATCAATTTACATTGGTCAAGAAGCTTATGCTAAAAAGGTAATTGCTAAATATAAAATGCAAAATTCTCCTATTGTAGCCACACCCGTAGACAGCGCAAGCAATCTGAGCAATTTTGTTCCCGATGCAGAAGTCAATTTTCCATATAGGGAAGCGGTTGGCAGTCTTATGTATCTGGCAGTAGCTACAAGGCCAGATATTGCTTTTGCTGTATCTAACGTAAGTCGATATCTTGAAAAGCTAGCAACAGCACACATTAATTCCAGTCAAAAGAATAATCAAACATCTGAAAGGTACGACTGGCATAGGAATCTACTACCAGAGTAACAGCAAACTTTATCTGTGCGGTTACAGTGATGCTCTACGCAGGTAATGTGCAAACTCGAAGATCTACCTCAGGTTTTGTTTTTATGGTAGATAAGGGCATAATAAGCTGGTGTTCTGAGCGTCGGAAGTGCGTTTCATTATCAACAACTGAAGCAGAATATATTGCAGCAGCTAGCGCAGCAAAGGAATTAATCTGGCTCAAGCGGTTTTGATCTGATCTTGGGAATCCAGAGAGGGTGGAGTTCTGCATTGATAACCAAAGTGCAATTCGACTAATAAAAAATCCTGAATTTCACAAAAGGACAAAACACATTGATGTATGTTATCATTTTATAAGGAATGCATACAATGAAAAGATTTTCGACTTGAATTATGTGGCATCTGGTGAACAGCTTGCAGACGGGCTTACAAAACCAGTTCCAAAAGAAAAGTTTATTTTATTTAGACATCAGTAGCTCGTTTATGTAAATCGTTCGAGTTAAACTCGAACGATTTCTTTCGAAAAGTTCTCACTTGCTTTTTCTCACTTCTTTCGAGTTTGCTGTTTATGTAACATGAAAAATTCACCACACGAGAACGTTATGGTGTGATGAGAGGAACTGATGAAAATGGAACGTTTTTTGAAAAAATGGAACGTTTTTTGAAAAAATGGAACGTTTTTTGAAAAAATTGAACGAAAATAAAACAATTTTAAAAGGTTGCTTAGTGCTTGGAAATAGCACTTGTACCAATAATTTAAATTTATTCACTTTAACTTACTTTTTTTCATTCAAAATTCAAAACTTCTCGCAAGCAATTTGACAGGTGACAAAAACTCGAACGAAAAAAAGTGAGAAAACAATTCACCACAGTTACATAAACACTTCTAGTGAGTAATTGTCAAAAGTGAGAAAATCGTTCGAGAAAACGAAGTGAGAAAGTTACATAAACGAGCTACAGATTGGTTTAAAAAATCTATCAGTAATATTCTAATGTCGTAATAAATTATATAATGTAACTAAAAAGTGGGAGTATTGAATATGTAATATTCATTTTAATTACATTTGCAGCCCCTTTTTAATCAACTACTGTAACTTTTTTCTTGTAATTTATTTTTTAGTCAATAAACACACTTTATCTTAACAGATTTCATAGTTCACTATTGTATACTCAGGTGACATTAGTTCACAATGGTGACATAACTACGCGCGCAAATTATAACATTTGCTTACCATTAGCAACACATTAGCATTTTCTTTGGAATTATAAATTTATTTTTATATAGCAATTTATGTACAAATGTATATTATTTGATATATATCTATTTTTTTGTTTTGAAGTAAATAAAGTAATTATTCAATTATATTATAAACCTTCGCTTTCCTTTATTGATCGAAATACAATCCCCGCAAATATAAATTTTATTGCAACAAACCTGGGCAGCCGCTTTGCTACCTCAGCAAACAAAAACGACTGAAAAGTGATTGTTACATATTTGAAAAAGAACTTAACAGAATTTGCTATAACTTGTAATCATAATTATTGAGTTTAGAAAATATTGCTATTTTTCCTCTATCAAAGTGTCTTCTTACTATATTGATAACGTTTTCAGAGGAAATATCTTGCTTGTCTGTAAAAATTCACTTGTTTTTGTAAACATTTGCTGCTTCAGTTTTCTTATTTTCTTCTAGTATAATTTGTTTACTAAAGCGATTTACGACAGTGTCAAGAATTGTGAAGTGATCGTTGAGATTTTCTGGCTGAGAATGAATAGTGTCGTCTTTATTTGAGTTATCAATATCATAAGTTTTAACATTTGATATATTTTCTTAAGAATAATTGATTTGCACTTAAGCATTTACGTAGGTCATGGGCACAACACCCTACCCCTTTACAAAAGTGTAAATTAGTTGTAATTTCTACAAATTTGAATTAATTTACATTACACATTATTTTATTTATCTATATGTAATGTTTTTAGTCGAATATTTTAGTTTATATTTTACAATTTATATGATATCTATTCATTAACATATTTAGTATAATATAATGTAATAATAATTTTACAATTCGTATAACATATTTAGTATAATATAATGTATTTAATTTCTATTCTGTATATAATGATTACAACATGATTAATAATAATATATTCTTATTTAATGAGCTTAGGCTTAAATCATTGAAATGTGGAATCGACTAATCTGTTTAAATTTAAATTGCTTGTTAGTTAACTATAACTAGTTGCTTTATGTCTTGTTTTGTTTTATTTATTGTTCTTTAATACCATATATGATAAAACGATTTAAAAAAAAAAAAAATTTAATGAGATAAATTATTACATAAGTATTATTTTGCTTAGTTTTGCATTTTATCAACTTATTGTTGTGCAGTTCGACAAGTTTTTCATTCATTAATATTGTACTGTTTGTTCCTTGTTGTGATATAATTTTATATGGGCCTCTGTATGGGATTTCTAATTTCTTTCTGTTGCCTTTTTTAACAAATACAAAATCATTTATTTTAAAATTTGCTTTATTAACATTTTTTTGTTTTTCTTGCATTAAGTGTTTGGAATTTATTAATTTTTCTTTTGCTTTATTTTGAGCAAATTTTAATTTTACTTTTAATTCATTAGCATAATTTCAATTTCATATATAGTTTGTTTATTTTTAATAATTTCACATGGTAGTGCACATAATTTACATATTTACCATATACTAATTCAAATGGAGTGTAGATTGTTGTTGTATGTGGAGTTGAGTTGTGACTGTACACGTAGTAAGGTAGTAATTCTTCCCAATTGTCCAATTGTTTATTGCTTTCGTGGTCATTAAGTAGTCATTCAAAACTCTATGGTTTCTTTCAACTATTCCTAATGTCTCATGGTGAAATGGTGTTGATGTTACTTTTTCTACCTTTAATAGTTTACAAATGTTTTTGAGAAGTTCATTTGTGAATTCTGTACACCTGTCAGCTTTCATTTTTCTGAAACAACCGTACTTAAGTATGAATTTTTCTACAATTTCTTTCGCAACGTTGACGGCGTCTTTTGTTTGTAAAGGCATAGCTTCTACGAATTTGGTTAATTCACATTGATGTGTCAAAATGTATCTGTTATTGTTAGATGGGATTATTGGACCTACAGTGTCAATTGTTATTACATCAAAAGTTGTGTTTGGTGTTTCGGTAATTTGGTATTTTTCTTTTCTTATGTCTAGTTATTTTAACTCTTGCACATGTGTTATTTTGTTCATTTTATTCCAAACAAAAGTTGTTTCAATTTCTTTATGCATCTTTTAATTCCATAATGTCCTCCATGTAGAGATTCGTGATATTCTTTTATTAATCTGAGCATTTCTTTTGTATCTTCTATTTGTTTCGGTGGTGTATATATAATTATGTCAAGACTTTCTTTTAATTTTAATTCTTTTTGCAGCTTATTAAATATCTCTTTCAGTTCTTGCAAGTTTATTTTATTTAATACTTTATCATTTTCCGCCAGCGATAGCTTTGTAATTTTTAAGTTGTTCATTTTGAATAATAACTTCCTCAGAATCAATTTTATCTCTGATAATGATTTCTCGTTAAATTCGACAACTATCTTATTTGCAGCTTTAATATTTATTGCATTATTTTCATTGAACTTTTTATTTTTATGTTCAAGTGCTTTTTCTTCAATTCCATCTGAAGAATGATTTATCTTTTTAAATACAAGTTTGTTTATAAACCTTACATCTGATATTGATGTCGCGTTCCACATGTGAAGGTGATCAATCTCCGTGTTAGCATTTAAGGTTTGTTCTTGACTTTATTTTTCATGTGCTTGAATATTTTTGGTCATTGTTCTGGTTAATACATTTATGTTTGTAGGTATCATCTCAATTAGTTGTTTTAAATCTAATTGAATCCTAGACAGTGCATCTGCATTTGTATTCATTTTTCCTTGTTTGAATATGACATTAAAGTTGTAATTCATTAAATCTATCCTAATTCTTGTTAGCTTTGAGGATGGACTCTTGTGAGTAAAAAGACTAACTAGTGACATATGGTCAGTATAGACCGTAAAATTTCTGCCATATAAGTATAAGTAAATAATTAATTCCCCAATGAATTGCAAGAAGTTCTTTCTCTATCGCAGGCTTGTTTAGAGTTGTACTACCATAAGCTGTCGGTTTATCATTTCCTATTTCTCCTTGTCACAAAACTGCTCCTAACGCATAATTAGAGGCATCTGTCGTTAATATAAAATTTTTCGAGAAATCTGGGTAACTTAAGATTGGTGGTGAAATTAACTTTGTTCTTAAACTTTCAAAAGATTTATCACT